TGGCAAACGCTGTCAGCCAATACAATTTGAAGTATATGCATGCCGTCTATTTAAACTGTTCGTCATAGTGTTTAAGACACATAGCAAGGTTCTCACTGTTTGCTGGTAGTTACTGAAAATGGTACTGGGAAAATGAATAGATTGCAGAAGAGGAATTATAGGAGCTTATTAGTTTTGTTTCCTGTCCAATTTTCTGTGGTTTCCGATGGACATACCATACTGTCTGCCCAGGACTCTGAGCTATGAATTCAGGTGGAGGTGGAACTGGATGAGTACATGGATTAACAAGCGAAGCGCCACCAAGCCATCATGTATGGCTTGATGCAGACTCACGACTTCCAAAGAGTTAAGCTGTTGCGCCTGTTGTACACAAATGAAAAGGATGTGACATTTCATGGCGACATGGCTGTAGGGACTGACTGTCGTCAGCTAACACATTTTGCGAGCATTAGCGCCTAGTATTGACAAGATTATATGGCACTTAGAAATGCATTAATCAAATTGTGTTAACTGGCAAGTCTTAAAAAAACAAAACTAAAACAGAAACCCTCTTAGTGTATGTCCCAGTTTTCATAGAACAGAATATTCCATTTGATGCTGAGGGAAAATTATTCTATGTTGATGACTTACTATTGATGAATATTTAAAAAAAGAAATAGCAAAGCTTCTGTAAAAAAACATCTTTTTCTTTGGGAATAGATAGTGCCAAAATAATGTCATTTTGTGTATATAGACTGCATTTTGCTTAAATAAGCTGGTCACATGCAGTCTTTTCTCTCCTTCTTCCGCAGCCTACCCATGTAATGAGGAATACAAAGATATGTATTTTCAATCAGACCTTTATTTACTGTTGAAGGGATACTGCGAACAAATAGTTAATTGCAAAAGAGTGTAAAAATAAAAGACGTGATCAATACTGTAACAAGTAAAAGGAATTGCAGATGCAGAATTTCATTAGGAAGAAGTTAAGCAGAAATCAGTTTTACTTGGATATGACAAAGGTATTAATTACAGTTGCTTGGATACTAATAATATAATAATTTGTAAACAAAAATCCAATTTAAAACAAGTTCAGCACAAATAAGTTGGTAAGGGAAGAGTGAAGAAGCATCATGCAATTTATAGGAATCCCTCTTGTCTTAGGACAAGTCCAGCCAATTCATGAACAAGTTGTTACTGATCCTATATGTATGTATATTATTCTGTTACTGTTTGTTTTGTTGTTGTTTTTTTTTTAAATTCTGGCAATGTGTAGAGTCTTGTCCTCTGTGATTTGACGGATACTCATTATTATTGCCTGTCTACCTGCAACTTTTGGTATAATACTTCAGAGTCCCAAAGACAGGAACTTGTTTCTGTTTGTATAGAGCATCATGACAAACATCCTGGGTTTTATAGATCAAGGTATTCAACCACTGGCTGGTGATTTCTCTGGCCTGTGATCAGGTGCTCTCCTTCCTAGAAGGCCATTGGCATCAAAGGATGGGCCGGATGTGTTGCTTTGACAGTAGTCTCCTGCTTGTGGTCATTTTCTTTTCCAAGGGCTTTATGGTTCCTCCTCATCTTTTGATGGGCTGTCTTGTGGTAAAAGAAGAGCTATGGGTCTCCCAGGAAAGTTGGCAACCAGGAGTGGGGCTGCCACTGCTGGAACAATTAATCCTGCTCCCTGTGCAGATACTCATTAATTAATTGCTCCAGTGGTTGCAACCTGCTGCCGGCTTCTTCCTTCCCAAGAGCTCCTCAGGTGCTGGCGCACAGGCAGGACGTGTGTGCGAGCGTCTGTGTGTCTGTGTGTGTTGCAGTTGATCTATGGGTGTGTAGTAGATCCAACATTTTGGGAAAGGGTCTTGACTCTGTGTGGGCAGGTGGATGTACAGTGTTTTCACGGTAGGTATGGGCGTGATCCAGAGGTGGAATCACAGCATGTGCTTTTCTTCCAGCCCCTCAAAAAGGTAGGTCATCCACCCAGCCAGAAGGCCAGGGGACTCCTGGTGTAGGGCTTCCTTTTTGCTTTCATTAAAACAGAAAACATGCCAAAACAATGAAGAGATCCTCATGTAAAGGAACATTAAAGCTTTCAGCATTAATTAAGCACTCAGAAGATGGGATAAGACAATTAATTAATCATACATATGCAACTCTTCTCCCCGTTGCACTGGAAAAATTGTTTCCTTTAACTTAAATTATTATACACTAATTGCTTAATGTATTACCATATTTTTTTCCTTATGTGTTTAGATAATTGCTTTTAGCAACAGGTGATAGAAACTAAATAGGAATTTTGCATTCAGAACCTTCTACTCAGCATATTAGATATGGTGGACAGGATGAAAAACAAATTAAATCTTGTGAAAAGTTACACAAGCTGACCTTAATGGACGGTGATGATGTCACTGTTCTTATAGACTGGTCACAGTGTGGCCATGTAAGCACATTTATTATTGTCTGAGCATGCTCGGTATTTTCTTTGTATTGAAGAATAGGAAACAGTTCGCTATATAAAATGGTTTGGTAAAGGCCTACTAGGGCTGCATGAATAAAACCAACAACTGTCTTTCAACTCGTACGTAGCCTTTATTTAGCATATTTGATATTATTTTGAATAGAACCCCTCTGGTGGGGAACTTACTTGACATATCATGAAAAAATAAAAATCTTGATAAATCCTGCATATCCTGAGAGAACCTTCCCATCGCATCAGCAAAGGCACATGGTATTTCTGATGCTGTAGGAAGTTCCATACAGACCAGTCTCTGAGGCTGTAGAGAGCCCTGCTCCTAAGAACATAATCACACAAATTCCGCCCACAGACAATTTTTTTAAAGCATTTTAGTTTTGAGCTGTTGTCATTGAGATTTGGGAGTCACCGACATTGACATTTATACTTGTTTGTGCTGGAGAGCTGTTGAACACAGGAACATAACGTCCAGTGAACCAGTGCATGGTAATGGTTTATCTGTGTCACTAGATTGTTAAGTAAAGCACAGCAGTACCCTAAAAACTTTTGGTTTCTCTCTGTCATCCAGAATAAATTGCATAAAATATGAATGCTCATATTCATCATTGTTCTGCTGCTTTACAGTGTTAAGATATTTTATATTGCATCATAGCTGATCATGATAGTAGCCACTGTGAGCATGTGGACTCCAACTTTTTGGACTCATCCTGATCCTGCGAAGAATTATGCATGCACATAGCTTTATGTTGCTTAAATAATCTACTAGATGTGAATAGCACAATTTTCCATAAGATGAAGAAGGGTGAAGAAGTAGTAGTAGAGTACTAAACTAAGGTAAATAAGCACTTTGTTAGTGTTTCTAGGTAGTATCTCACAGTACAATCATCTTCTTAAAACATAAAAAATATTCCAGCAGTTACCTGGACCTGACTTTTTTTTAACGTACTGACTGATATTTTGCTGAGAGAATAGCACGTTGGCTAGCTGAGTTACCATCTTATTTCATTAGGTGGTGTTTGGAACAGGACATGCTGTCTTTGTGTGGTAACTGGTAGTAAAAGCTGGCTATTTTGTGGCCACTGAAGGAAAGTATGGTGGTATTACTGCTCTTTGCAGCCTGTTGACATCAGTAGTTTTCCTTCAGCTTAAACACCTTTGATCAAGGGCTTGGCATGGAACCAGTGGGGCTCTGTGCATATGGAAGTACCTCAGCAGGACACATTTCTTCTTCAGCAGTTCACTTTTTGGGGAATGTGCCTGTGGTCACACAGGGAATGTGTTTCCCTTGCAGATGCTGAGGGTGCTCTGCCCTGGCGGCAGCTGGAGAGGTCGCGGTTTGGGTAACCTTGTCTTACTGTGTCACATGGCTCTAACTTATTTGTAAATGAGACCAAATGCCAGATGCATCAGATAAATTAATTATTTCTAATAAGTTGGGTTGTATTTATTGTACAGCGGGAAAACAGAGAAGTTGTTTCTTTTTAAAATACCTGCACCTTGTCACAAAAAGCTTCAAATTACTTATATTTGTATTTTTTTTAATTAGGCACTGAGTAACCTATTCAATACTGTCTCATTCATCAAGTGAGTTCTTCAGGAAAAGAAATCCTGTCAGGTGCAGCAGACAAACCTATGAGCAGCATTGGTACTGTTAATGACTCAGAGAATGACTGAAAGGGTTGTAAAATGACACATTATTATCTAGCAGGCATTGATCATAATTATATCACTGATAAAGGCAAAACATATCAAATGTTGTGTTTTAAATATGCCCTTCAATAAAAGAAAAAAAAAAGCCATTGAAATAATTTCAGTGATAGCTGTGTGATCCTGCTGAATGCAAAATGGAAATATTTTGCATATCCTTGGGATGAAAGGAGTTATCACTCTAAGATATTCACTTATTAATTTTCATTCAATACTCATGGTATATCAGACATTATAGATCTTTCACCATTTTGCTTTATGACACTGCAGAACTCTGATAACTATGCTCTGTGTAAAATGTAATTCCCTGGTTTACCTGCCTGCTTGGATTGAACTGTGGAATCTTAATTTGCTGTCATGGTTTCCATAATCCTTTGCTCGTGTCATATTGTTGTTACAATGAACAAATCGCTCCTACAGTATAGCTTTCATCTTCTTAAGGCAGAGTACAGACCCTTTCATCCTTGCAAAGTGAATAATTAAGCTAGGATTTTAATATTTGTGTTTGCTTTTGGGTTTATTAGCTCTAACTGTGAAAACTAAAACAATTATTTTGTATGCTCCATCTGACTAGCACTTGAAAAAATGGACCAGAGTTTTCCATAGATCTGTTCTGTGGCTTTAAGCCACAGAACAGCACTGTTGTAGAAACGGACTGTACTCTGCCAGTTGGATAGGTGGCATTTTTACCATTGCCAGCTTGAGGTTTGCATAAGGACCACAAATGTGATGCAAAACTAGGGAAGCTGGTTGTCACTGGTAAGGTCCTACAGAATAATGTAATTCTTCTATTGTACCTGCCCTGCCTGAATTTTTTGTTTGTTTGTTTCTGTAGACTCCAGAGGAAGGAGCCTCTACAAGCATCTATGCAGCAGTATCACCCGAGATGGAAGGAGCTGGCGGCTGCTACCTTTACAATGAGAAAAGGACAAAATCAGCTGACGTAGCATATGATGAGGACCTGCAGAGAAGGCTCTGGACAGAAAGCTGCAAGATGGTTGGCATTTCTGATGAATCCAGCAGAGTTCCCTAGAAGAAGCCGCTTCCAGCTGGGTAAATGAAATGTATTGACAAGCATCTTAGGTGAATTCTTGCAGCATCAGTCATCATCCTGGAAATCACTGTTCAGTCTCAAAGGCAAACAAGAACAGCCCTGTTCTTCACTTGAACCCCTAGTCTGCTAGGGTGTGGGGGGAGTATTCCCACAGAAAGAGGTAGTGGTTGGTTTTAAATCTAACCATCAGTTTTGTAAATCATGATGTTTCAGTCTGTGATTAAAATACAATCTTTAACCTTGTGCGGAGTTGAGTTTTCATTTTTTGTTCAACAAAAAAAAAGACTTTCCCTAGTGAGCGTGTTCTGTCTGTGGCATGTTGAACTTAAGCCACCTTTGTACATATAACTTACTCTTTTTAAATCGGTTTTAAAAGTTGCAGCTTTTTCCTTAAGCTTCATTGATCTTTAAGATACTTTATAATGAATGTCAGCTTGGTCTAATGCAGACATTTGGCATTCATGATCATTATGTTGTTTCTATCATAACGTTAGTTTTATACGTCAGCTTTTATCCAGAGGTTTTAAGTGAAGGTCAGAACCAAAAAAGATGTAAATAAATATGGTCTTCAGGCAGGATATTGAATTCAGTTGTTTTCTGTTTGAGTTCAGCTCTCCTTTAAAGGCAAGCCGTAAGAACGAGGAAGGGATCAAACATAATAATGGAGACACCGGATTTGGCAGAGGGTGCAGTCGGTCTGTTGTCTTGGCAGTGGGCTAAGATTACTTGTCCCCTTTTCTCCTGAACCCGTGTAAACTTGCGTCCACAACTTTTTGCGTTTTCTTTGGCAAGGAGATTCACTCATCTACTGCCCGCTGCATGAAGAATCACCTCTTTTAGTTGGTTTTGAACCTAGTTCATATGAGTTTCAAAACTAGAGTTCATGGTTTGGAAGAGACAGCAATCGATTAATGCCAGTCCACTTTTTTTCACATTGCTAAGGGTTTTGGAGACTTCCAACATGTTCCTCAAACTGTCTCTTTGCCATGCTGAAGAGTAGTCTCTGCCACTCATCCGAGCACAGCAGCAAAAGGATATTTTTCCTTTGGTTATGTATTTCTTTCCTAAAAATTCCTAACAGCTGTTTTACTTCTAATTTTATTTGACTGTCTCTAAGTGTGGAGCTGATATTTTTTATGAAACCGTTTTTGGTATACCCTAAGATTTCTCTTCTGAGTCGGATAGTGGTCAGTCCGGATGCCATCAGTTTTGAGCATGCTTCGGTGTGTACAGTTCAGGGAACTCTACCTATGTCTGCCAAAGTGAAGCTTCAAGAATGATGTTCACATCCATGGAGTAAAGAACAAAACAGACATGTGGCAATATAAAGATAGCCTGAGTTTCTACAAGCCCAAATAACTAAAAGAAAAAACTGGATTGAAGACAGACACAACATTTTAACAGGGAAGGTGATAAACCATGAGAATAATTTACAGAGAAACTTCCCCTGGAAGTTTCAGTCAAGATTAGAAGTTTCCTCAAAACACCTAGAAGGCTCCGGGGAAACCTTATAGCAGCCTTCCAGTACTTAAAGGGCGCCTACAGGAAAGATGGGGAGGGACTTTTTATCAGGGAGTGTAGTGATAGGTTTTAAACTGAAAGAGGGTGGATTTATTTTAGATATTGGGAAGAAATGCTTTACTGTGCAGGTGGTGAGACACTGGAACAGGTTGCCCAGAGAAGTTGTGGATGCCCCATCCCTGGAAGTGTTCAAGGCCAGGCTGGGTGGGGCTTTGAGCAACCTGATCTAGTGGGAGATATCCCTGCCCATGGCAGGGGGGGGGTGGAACTAGATGATCTTTAAGGTCCCTTCCAACCCAAACCATTCTGTGATTCTATGATCTCTCCTTAGTGAGAGAAACTTTCCAAGCGTGGACTCTGTGACTAGGGAGCCTGAACTCTTGCTGTTAATGGAGTAAGCTCTACCCTACTCCCATCTCATTCATTTTAGGTGCTGTCTGAAAAAGCAGCATAATCCTATAAATGTCCTTGCATTTCCTTTTTTAGGATACACACAGCGAAAGAGACCAATAGGCAGGCATAAATCTTATATTCACTTTGGAGCACTGGAAATTACTGCGTGATAGAACTAAGTGCAAACACAGTGTTGTGCTCTCATTTGCAGCAGACTAGAAACAATATGAACGTGTTCCTATGCAATGAACCCTGGACTAATATCCCTTTTGGGCTTTTTAGCTCAAACTTGGTACTTCACTGACCATATCTCCAGCCTCTGGTTCAGAGAGAGATCACATCTAACTGAAAAAAAGCATACTAATATGTCCAGAGACTAGCAAGGAGATGCAGAGACAAAAAAATAGTATGAACAAAGAAAAACAGACGAGTACAAAAATAATAAAAAATCTGAAGGAAAGCATATTTCCCCTCTGAGTTAAGCCATGCATGAATTATTCCTAGCTTCTTAGAGTTAGTATATACAAGGGTTAGCAGCAGGAAATTTATCACTCAGTCACTATAGCACTTTCTCGGTATGACTGGCTGACTTTTTTTTTTTTTGGTAAGTGAATGTAGTGCTTGTGAAATGTGCCAGACTGACACTCTGGGAACTGAATTCTTCTGTTTATTCACGGGTCATGCACAGGATGCAGTAAGCCTGCTAGACAGCCAACATTTTGATGTTGCCATAGCATTCCCACGGAACATCATTGCTGCTAGAAGTATGTCCAGGATTACTCGAACGAGATGGGACCAAATTGTCTTCAGGTTTCACTCTCTTGAAGCTCCACAATATTTGCACAACCACTTTCAAGTGGCATAGGGATTGGTAAAAGAGCAAGCAGTAAAGAGAGCTAGTTACTCTTTCAGTGTAATGTGAACCACTATGTTAGTGGTCTCAGTCCAATTAAATCTGTTTTAACAACACTGAAAACATGGTTTGTGAGAACCAAGAACACAGATTGTGCCAGCACGAGGGGAAAAAAAAAAGTATCCTAAAGCCAGGGATTTCTAGAACGGTGCAATGCCATGAAGATGTAGTTGAGCTAGTTGCAAAAGAGTTATCTCAGGAACTAAAAGCAGAAAAAACGGTCAGCTCTGCAATGTCACATAAACTGGTCTTGAGCAAAATCCAGTGTTGTCATAAAGTGCTGTGTGTCACTGGGAGCACTCACTTGTGATACTGTTGCAAAAATCCAAAATAGTCCTTAGCATATCTATTAGGAAAAAATATATATATGAAGCATGTAGAAAGAGGACAATGATTTTACTTCTGCACACAGACATGGTAAGAGCTGATTTACTTTTCACGTTTCAAGGACACGGAATTTCTGGAGATCTGAGAAGCCCTTCCTTTCACTTCACCGCAGACATGGCTGAGAGATGGCTCGAGTCCTTGCAGTAGGTGCATACATATAGAAAAAATACCCGAGAGCTTTTTAGCCTTGCAAAGAAAGGCAAAACAAGCTCCAATAATTGTAAATTGAAGTTGACAAATTAACCTTCCAACATGAAAACGGATCCTCTCTCTGTGAGAGTAATTGCATATTGGAATATGTAGCTCTGATATCTGAAGATAATGAAAAGATGCCTCTGAAAAGATACCTGGCAAGGAGGCCGGGTAGGCTCCTAAGCAAAGCAGGTCAACCACAGTGAAGTCATACTTAGGTTCTCCCTCACGTCCAAAGTGACAGCACTTACTTTGATTAGTATGAGAGAGACCCATCGCTCACAACTTCTAAAATGGATATTTCCATGCCAGTACTCCACCCAGGCTAATGTTTAATTCAAAAAACTAGGTGCCTTTACCAAATCTCACAAAGGCACACAAAATCTACGGTCCGGTTCAAGTCTGAGATCAACAGAAGCATCTGCCAAGGGGCACCGTGATCAACAGAAGCATCTACTAAGGGCCACCGTGGTGTGATCCTATTGCCCTCAGTGAGGGAGTGAAGCCATTTCAAACCAATATTTTATTCTTTTCTTAAAAAGGATTACTTTTCTTTTTCAGCTCCCATGAAAAAGAAAAAATCTTGAAAAAGGACAAAAAAGATGAATGCTCTTTTGAAGGGTAGTTCAAATAAATCTTACAGATATTACCGCAATGAATGTAGTTATCTAGGAATTTGATAAGACGATGTAATTTAAACAATGAACTTGCACAGGAAATAAATAATATACAGGCAGAGAGCCCTAAGTTTCTTAGGAAAAATGTTAACTTTTTCATTAATTAACTAGTTTATTTGTAAACCGTGGGGAAATTAATTATGTGCTGGAAGAATAAGTTCTGTAATTCATGTGTGAATACACTGCTATTTGCACATAATAAAGTAGTTGCATCCTTACTTCCAGTTCAAAATTGTTTTTAAGCCCTAAATGTGGAACCTCTAGCCACACTTCTACAATGATATTTTATACATATGTGAACTCGATAGTTTAATTTTTGCACAACTATCGATTACTTTAGTACACAGTGGGAAATGGTGAAGCATAGAAACAAAGGACTTCATTATCTGACATCAGGCTTGCTTCTTCCTCTTCCGAATGCGTGGTAGTGCTAGCCCTAAATATAAGAATACATGTCAGATATTTAAATCCTGATCCTAAATAAGCTATGCAAGCTTTGCCTCTTGTACAGTTCTGGCCTTAGACTGTCCTTGCTCATTATATGACATGGTTTATGCTCTAGCTGCCACCATGGAAAGACAAAAACAGATTCCAGTGAAGTTAACACGAAATCTGCCACAGATAAGATAATTAACACATGATTTTAAGAGAGCGAAGGCTGAGGACACTGACCAGTCTGCAATAGTTGAAGTCGTCAGTGCGAAATGTGAAGTGCACAACATCAGGCCAGACAATACAGATAAGCCATTACCATGAACAGTTTTTTGAAGGTAATTTTATTCCTTTTTAAAACAAAACCACTGTGTTTCAGCAATCCACTGCGGTTAACGTTGACAGTGCTGTGAGCCTTGTCAGGAAGAAAACAGACCAGTGGCCAACAGTGCTGTTTCCAGATGCATGTAGTTACTGGCTTCTATGCCGTACTCATCAACCCTTGTTAGTATGTCTCCCTTTGGAAATGGACCCAAGCCAAGGATTCCTTTCACATAAGCAATCAAGAAGAGTCAAAAAGTAGTAGTGACTGTCATTTATTTAGACAAACACTGTCTAGATTGAAACCAATCACCTTAAAGTGAGACTTCCTAATCCCAGAAAAGAAAAAATAAAAAAAAAGGCCGAAAACCAGGCTATGACACTTTTTGAGTGATATTAAAACTGGT